AATGGACAGATGAAAAATGGACATACAGAACGCCCGTGTAAAAGGGGCATTTGTATCACTTATATAATGTGTTTTGGGGGGTTTTAGGCAATCTTCAGGCCTAAGGGTTCTTTCACACGAGCATTCTGTTTTTCTCAGCAGTTCAGTCATGTTTTTTCCAAGGAAAAAAAAACCAATCAGTTTTACATCCTTTACCAATGTAAAAATGGAACATATGTCCATTTACATCTGTTTACATCCATTTTTCATCCCTTTCGGGGGTGTTTTTTTTTTTTTTTTAAACGGAAGAAAAATAGGGTTTTCTTCCATTCAACAAAATGGATGTTAACGGATACGGACATTAATGGATGTAAACAGATCATCTGTTTACATCTGCTAGTCCGTAGAAATAAACAGATAGATGAAAAATGGACATACAGACCGCCTGTGTAAAAGGGGCATTTGTATCACTAATATACGTTTTGGGGGTTTTAGGCCTAAGGGTCCTTTCACACATTTTTCTCATCAGTTTTACATCATTTTACATCCTTTACAAATGCAAAAATGGACCGTATGTCAGTTTACATCCCTTTCAGGGTTTTTTTTTAACCACATGCCGCCCAGCCACTGTAGAAATACGTTGCAGGGCAGCACGGCTGGGCAAAACCACGTTTTAAAACGTGTGTTTGCAAAACAGGTAGGGGGCGCCACCGCCCTACCTGTCCCGCCGATCACGGCTGCGGATGTCAGTCGCCAGGTCACAGCCGGTCATTACCGGCTGTGTCCCGGCGATTAGCGGCAATCACTGACAGAGAGCAGGGCTGCAGTAGCTCTGCTCTCTGTCAGTTCCCTGACAGCTCCTGACATGCTGAGCCTGAGAGAAGAGTTTCTCTCTCCCGATCAGCTGTCCCCTAGTAAAAAACACTCCCCTCCTTTCAGTAAATAAAAAAGTTAACCCCTTCCTCCCCAGTGCCATTAGTACAGTGTCAGCGTTTTTTTTTTTTTTTTTTTGCACTGATCACTGTATTGGTGTTACTGGGAATGTCAGTGACCACAAGTCAGTCCCCCCCCCCCCAGTGTCAGAATGTCCGCCGCAGTCCCGCCATAAGTCACTGATTGCCGCCATAAGTCGCTAATTGCCATTATTAGTATAAAAAAAATTAAAAATCCCAGTATCTTTCCCGCCATTTGTAAACGCTATAACTTTCACGTAAACCAATTAATTTACACGTATTGGTTTTTTTTTTAGCAAAGACATGTCGCAGAATGCATTTTGGTCGAAATTTACTGGACATGTTTTATAGCAAAAAGTCCAAAATATTTTTTTTTTTCTCAAAATTGTCAGCCTTTTTCTTTTATAGCGCAAAAAAATAAAAAGCGCACAGGCGATCAAATACCACCGAAAGAAAGCTCAATTTGTGGGGAAAAAAAGGACATAAATTTCATTTATGTACCGTATTGCATGACTGCACAATTGTCCATTAAACTAGCGCAGCGCTGTATAGCAAAACAAATGGTGTAAATTGCAGTATCTATACCATAGTTTGTAGACGCTATAACTATCACACAAAGCAATCAATATACACTTATTGGGATTTTTTTTTTTTACCAAAAACATGGAGCAGAATACATTTTGGCCTAAATTTATAACCAACTTTGAGTTTACTATATATATTTTTTTATAGCTAAAAGTAAAAAATATTGTTTTTCTTCAAAATTTGTGGTCTTTTTTCGTTTATAGCGTGAAAAATAAAAAGCGCACAGGTGATCAAATACCACCGAAAGAAAGCTCTATTTGTGTGAAAAAAAGGACGAAAATTTTGTTTGGGTGCAGCATTGCATGACCGCGCGCAATTATCAGTTGAATTAGTGCAGCTCCAAGTAGCAAAAAGAGGCCTGGTCATTAAGGGGGGTAAATCCTCAGGAGAGCAAGAGGTTAACCTCCCTAGCGGTCTGATTATGTCCATATTTCTGTGCTCAAAGCGGTACATTTTTTTACATTGCAATATGTATTTTTTTTATTGTAGGCTGTCATTTTTAGAAATAGCTCACTGAAATCTGTCCGAACAAGAGTCTAGTAAACATCCCGGGTAGGATAAGATTTGAAACACAAAACCACAAATTATAATTTAATAATCATAAAAAATAATATAAAAATAAATTTAATTCAATAATATAATCAAACCAAAAACACTGAAATTTGAATTATAGCGCCAAGTTCGCACATCACTGAGCAAAGTCGCAGAATCATTTTCAGTGTCTGATGACAAATTTCCCCACGAATCATTATCACTCAATTCTGCAAGTGGTTCTGATTTACTATCGCTGTTCTCTAGCCGGTCTAAAACCGATTTTGACCTAAAGGGACGCTTTTTGGACGCCATGGACGTTTCTCAGTTTCCAGGCAGAAAGAACAGTAAAAATGCAGGCAGGGCGCCGGACAAATCACTCGGGACAAAATGTATGTGAAATGGTTTGATACAGGAATGCTTTACTATGTGATTTTAGTGTATTTAGTGAATGTCATTTTCAAATTTCCTGCTGTTCCGTCCCCCGTACGTCCCGACGCTCGCAGGGGACGGAACCCAGAAGACAGATGCCAGCATCCGCCGGAGGACATTACAGGGGACACTGCAGGGGGGGACATCACAGGAGCGCAGGACAAGGTAAGTGAAGAAAAGATCCGAGAGCAGCGCTGCAGTGTATTCCTGAGTGTAGCTCGGGGTTACCGCTTGTGGTGCTGAAACTTTACCCCGAGCTACACTCGGGAATACCGCCAGGCAGGCTACCGGATGAAAAATAGGGTTTTCTTACTTTCAAAAAAATGGACGTCAAAGGATACGGACATTAACGGATGTGAACAGATGATCATTCCTTTACATCCGCTAGTTCATAGAAATAAACAGATGAAAAACAACACAAAACGCCTGTGTAAAAGGGGCATTTGTATCACTAATATATTTATTTCAGGTACTTATATAGCGCCGTCAATTTACACAGCACTTTACATATATATTGTACATTCACATCAGTCCCTAACCCTCAAGGGGTGTACAATCTAAGGTCCCTAACTCACATTCATACATACACATACTAGGGACAATTTAGACAGGATACAATTAACCTACCAGCATGTCTTTGGAGAGTGGGAGGAAACCAGAGTACCCGGAGGAAACCCATGCAGGCACAGGGAGAACATGCAAACTCCAGGCAGGTGGTGCCGTGGTTGGGATTTGAACCCACGACCCGAGTACTGCCAGGCGTTAGTGCTAACCATTTAGCCCCTGTGCTGCCCATTATATACATTGTTTTGGGAGTTTTAGGCAATCTTCAGGCCTAAGCGGAGCATATCTATCACTAATATACAGTGTTTTGGAGTCTAAATTAGCATTGTAGCACTAACAGGCCATGTTTTGTGGCTTTTAGGCAATTTTCAGACGTAAAATGATATTTTTATCACTAATACAGTGTTTCAGATCCTAAATGAGCAATTTATTATGAATATGCCATGTTTTGGGGGTTTTAGGCAATCTTCAGGCCCAAAATGAGACGTATCACTAATATACAGAGTTTTAGCGCCTATAATGAGCATTTGTACCACAATATTCTATGTTTTGGGGGGTTTAAGGCCCAGAATGAGCATTTTTATCATGAATATACAGGGTTTGAGGGTTTTAGGTCATTTTCAGGCCTAAAATCAGCATTTGTATCACAGGAGCAGACAAACGAGGACAGAGCTCCAGCAAAGGGTTAGGAGCAATAGGGGGGAATAGGAAAACAATGCTACACCAATGGGCCCTGGGTTGTGGCCCCCAGAGGTCTATGGCCAGATGAGGGTGTAGGTGACAGGCCCCCTTTAAGAGCAGACGGTAGGGGCCACTTAGAGCGGACGGCGGGCCACTTAGAGCGGACGGCAGGCCTCCTGTACTATTTGGGGGCTCCGACCTGAGGAGCTCAGTACAGCTCAGTACTTAACCCCACCCCGCACCCCTCACTCACCCGCCGGGGCCCGTCTCCACTTTCCTCCGGCCTGGGGAGGGTGGGGAGGCAACGAGCGCGTCTCGAGCAAGAAGCACACCGAGCAGCAGCGCCCTCCTCCCTCCTGGGCCTCTCCGGACTCTTGAGCGGCGCAGGCCGCAAACAACAAACCCCCTTCACAGGTCGAGCGTGCGCATCAGTGGCAACATCCGGGACACTGAGGAGGGCGGAGGGAGGAGCCATCTCGGCTAGCGGGAATGTGTAGGCGGGGCCCTCAGAGCCTCTGAGGGGCTGGGTGGTTACCGTGGTAACACGAGCTGGGATTGAGGGGCGTGGCTACTGGGTTGCGAAAAGAGAGAGGCAAAGGAAGGAGGGGGCCTAGCGTGGTTACCATAGTGATGCGTTTGACTAGCAGGGAAGGAGAGGAAGGGGGAGGGTGAAGCCGTGTCGAACGGGGCAATGAGAAACAGGGGGGCGGGGACAATGCCTCACTATGGCAACAGGAGCTGTGGTTGGTGGGTTTGACTATTGACAAAATGGGCGGGAAGGAGCCTCGTCGATTGGGGGCAATGAGGAACAGGGGGGCGGTATAATAACGGGAGCTGTGATTGGTGGGTTTGGCCATTGGAGAAAATCGGTGGGAAAGAAAGAAAGGGGTCGTGTTGATGGGGGCAGGGATGTTAACTCTCTATAGCAACGGGAGTTGTGATTGGTGGGTTTGACCAATGAGAAAATGGGCGGGAAGGAGAGGAAGGGGAAAGTGTTGATAGAGGCAATAAAGAAGAGGGGGGCGGGGATAATACCTCACTATGGCAACAGGAGCTGTGATTGGTGGGTTTCACCATTGGGAGAAAGGGCAGGAAGTAGATGAGAGGGGAAGTGGCAGGCAGTGTGTGATGGAGAATTCCTCAGTGTGTACAAGCATGGCTGTGTGTGCTGACATGTTGTAACTTGCCCTCCCCTGGGTCGCACACCATTCGTCTCAGTCTTTTACGGAGTCGTAGAAGAAATAAGACGGGTGTGCGCCGTGCCGTTGGTGGAAAATGAGTGACAGGAATCTGGAGCAGCGGATGAACATCAAACTCTGCGTGAAAATGGGAAAAAGCGCGAGTGAGACTTTAGTTCTCTTAAAAGAGGCTTATGGTGAACATTCCATGAAGAAGTCGAGTGTTTTTGAATGGCATAAGCGGTTTAAGGAGGGGCGGGAAGATGTCCACGACGACGCAAGAAGCGGGCAGCCAAAAACGCAAAGGACGGACGCAAATGTGGACAGAGTGCGAGCCCTGGTACAATCAGATCGAAGGATGAGCGTGCGCGATGATGGCAGAAGAATTGAACATGAACAGGGAAACCGTGCGGCAGATTCTGACAGAGGACTTGAGGATGGGAAAGCTCTCCGCAGAGATGGTGCCTCCAATCTTGTCAGAAGATCAGAAGGAACGTCGTCTTCAGATTTCATCCCCATCTTCTGAAGAATGCAGAGGTGTTTGAGAGGGTGATTACCGGAGATGAAACATGGTGTCTCCAGTACGATCCGGAAACTAAACGCCAGACCATCAAGAATTCGCCTCGGCCAAAGAAAGCGCACATGTCTCGTTCTCCGTTCAAAACCATGCTGGTGTGTTTTTTCGATCACAAAGGGATCGTTCACTACGAGTTCATAGAACACGGTACGACGGTCACCCAACATTGTTACTTGGACATTCTGAAAAGGTTACGGGAATCTGTTCAGAGGAAAAGACCGGAACTCTGGCCTGACAAGTGGATTCTCCACCATGACAATGCTCCTGCACAGGATGAGTTAAGCGTTCGCGAGTTCCTGGCCCAGAATTCCATTACGAAACTTGACCAACCACCTTATTCCCCTGACTTAGCACCCTGCGACTTTTGGCTGTTTCCAAAAATAAAAGATGCCTTAAAAGGACACAGATTTGACAATATTCCGGACATCCAGCGAGCTGTAACAAAGGTACTGCACAGCGTTCCGGAAAACGAATTCCAGGAATGTTTCCAGGAGTGGCACAGTCATCTAGAAAAGTGTGTCGCTTCACAAGGGGGCTACTTTGAAGGTGACAACAGCCTCTAGTGTATAGGTAAGCAAACGGACAGTGACGCTCTCCCCAACGATCAGTTAGCAACAGTGGCCTTCTCCCCAACAATCTGGCAGCAGCACCTATCAGTTCCAGTGGTAATCTCCACAACAATCAAGCAGCAGCAAAGGCATTCTCGCCAATGATCAGGCGGCAGCTCCAGTCAGTTCCAGTGGTAATCTCCACAACAATCAGGCAGCAACAGAGGCATTCTTGCCAATGATCAGGCGGCAGCTCCAGTCAGTGCCAGTGGCGTTCTCACCAACGATCAGGCGGCAGCTCTAGTCAGTGCCAGTGGCGTTCTCACCAACGATCAGGCGGCAGCTCTAGTCAGTGCCAGTGGCGTTCTCACCAACGATCAGGCGGCAGCTCTAGTCAGTGCCAGTCGTGTTCTCCCCAACGATCAGGCGGCAGCTCCAGTCAGTGCCAGTGGCGTTCTTCCCAACGATCAGGTGGCAGCTCCAGTCAGTGCCAGTGGTGTTCTCCCCAGTGATCAGGCGCAGCTCCAGTCAGTGCCAGTGGCGTTCTCCCCAGTGATCAGGCGCAGCTCCAGTCAGTGCCAGTGGCGTTCTCCCCAGTGATCAGGCGCAGCTCCAGTCAGTGCCAGTGGCGTTCTCCCCAGTGATCAGGCGCAGCTCCAGTCAGTGCCAGTGGCGTTCTCCCCAGTGATCAGGCGCAGCTCCAGTCAGTGCCAGTGGCGTTCTCCCCAGTGATCAGGCGCAGCTCCAGTCAGTGCCAGTGGCGTTCTCCCCAGTGATCAGGTGCAGCTCCAGTCAGTGCCAGTGGTGTTCTCCCCAGTGATCAGGTGCAGCGACAGTCAGTGCCAGTGGTGTTCTCCCCAATAATCATGCGCAGCGACAGTCAGTGCCAGTGGTGTTCTCCCCAATGATGAGGTGCAGCTCCAGTCAGTGCCAGTGGTGTTCTCCACACCAATTAGGCAGCACCAGTGGCGTTCTCTTTAATGATTAGGCGGCAGCTCCAGTCCGTGTTAGTGGTGTTCTCCCTAATGTTTAGGCAGCACCAGTGGCATTTTCTCCAATGATTAGGCTGCAGCTCCAGTCAGTGCCAGTGGCGTTCTCCACACCAATTAGGCAGCACCAGTGGCGTTCTCTTCAATGATTAGGCGGCAGCTCCAGTCAGTGCCAGTGGTGTTCTCCCCAATGATCAGGCGGCAGCTCCAGTCAGTGCCAGTGGTGTTCTCCACACCAGTTAGGCAGCACCAGTGGCGTTCTCTCCAGTGATTATGCGGCAGCTCCAGTCAGTGCCAATGGTGTTCTCCACACCAATTAGGCAGCACCAGTGGCGTTCTCTCCAGTGATTATGCGGCATCTCCAGTCAGTGCCAGTGGTGTTCTCTCAAATGATCAGGCGGCAGCAGCTTCAGTCAGTGCCAGTGGTGTTCTCCACACCAGTTAGGCAGCACCAGTGGCGTTCTCTCCAATAATTAGGCTGCAGCTCCAGTCAGTGACAGTGGCCTTCTCCCTAGTGATCAGGCAGCAGCTCCAGTCAGTGACAGTGGTGTTCTCCGCATGAGTCAGCAACAGTGGCCTTCTCCCTAGTGATCAGGCAGCAGCTCCAGTCATTGACAGTGGTGTTCTCAAGTCCTTTTGTAGGCCTTGGCATTTAGAACCTCCTGAAGGGTTAATAAACAGACACTCCCCTGTCCAAGTATCCAGCACTGTCCTCACCTGAGTCAGTTCCTCACCTGTCTTTGGAGCACGGGCATGTTAACTGTGGGCAGCCGGCCGTGAGCTGATCCCCTACTGAACAGAGCAGGAGCAGGTGGATGACCGGCCCATGTCTGCTCATTTTATTTTATGCAATTACCAGCGGGTAACGAAAAAGCTCCCGATGCCTACTTGCAGTCAGGAGCTTTCCAATCATGACCACCACTCACAGTGGTTACATGATTGGAATTCCCTCGTCCCGTAAATTAGAACCTTTTACAGGGTTAATAAACACTCACCTGTCCAGGGATCCAGCACCGTCCTCACTTGAGCCAGTTCTTCACCAGTGTTTGGAGCACCAGTACGTTAACTGTGGGCAGCCAGCTGTGACTCCTTGCATCTTCACAGCTGGCTGCCCACTGGACATGCGCAAGCTGCACTGCACTTTGTGAATGGTCCTACAGCCTTCTGGGACCTGTGACATGTTCCAGAAGGTTGCAGGGAGGGGGGGGGACTTCAGGTTGATTCTGGAAGTGGGAATACTTGTCAAGATCAGGTACAACCTCCCCCCCCCCCCCCCCCCCCAAAAAAAAAATAGATACCAAATATGGCAGAGGAAGGGGGGGGGAGGAAGAGCAGAACTTCCGTTTTTGGGTGAAGTTCTGCGTGAAAGCCATACAATTACTTTGAATGAACTGCCAATACAGGCTGCCTGCACGCTGCTTCAGATGCATAAATAAACACCTCTTCATGCTATATGGGCCTCTGCACCCCTGTTAATGAGCCCTCAGCGTGTTTGGGGTTCTATTAAAGATGAATGGTACTAACATATGTATAGTGTGTTACCACAGAATGTGAACCCAACCTTAAAGTGGTCGTAAAGGCTCAAGGTTTTTTACTTTCAGGCATTCAATGCATGAAGGTAAAAAACCCTCTATGTGCAGCCCCTTCAATGCTTACCTGAACCCCACTGCGACCCAGCACTGTGCATGAGAGCCTTGGTTCTCCAGGGACTCTGCATCCTCATTGGCTCCCGCCGCTGTCAATCATAACCAGTGAGCCAATGAGGGGGTGGGGCCGAAACCGCAGCTCTGTGTGTGACTGGACACGTCGATCAATGATTCGGGAGTGAGCCTGTTTGGGAGTCCCATAGGAAGCTGCCTGCTCTGGGGGCAGGAGGGAGGGGCCAGGAACAATAGTGGGTTACCTGAGAAGAGAAGGGTTGGGGCTGCTCTGTGCAAAACCAATAGCAGGGATGTATAACATTTTTTTTGGCAACCCCCCCTTAATTATATATTGGTTGAGGCAGGGAGATGCCTCTGTGTCACTGGCTGAATCTTTATTTCTAGTGATGGAGTGATCTCGCTGCCTCTATTAGCAAGAGTATGGTTCTAGAGCAGGGGTGTCAAACTGGCAGTCCTCCAGCTGTTGCAAAACTACAAGTCCCATCATGCCTTTGGGAGTCATGCTTGTAACTGTCAGCCTTGCAATGCCTCATGGGACTTGTAGTTTGGCAATAGCTGGATGGCCGCTAGTTTGGCACCCCTGTTCTAGAGGGACAGACAGGCATCCCCTCTGCAATCCAGCCCCTGGCAATTTCTCACTAGTGGCAGAATCGCCCATCTGACATCAGTCTTGGGTTACATTTAGATGGGCCTCCTGTATTTGGTTTAGGCCTCATTCACATAGGCGTACTATGGCGTACACCTGTGTGAGGGCTGTGTTTACCTCCAGTGGGTTGCATAGGTGTCGCATGTATCCATGTGAAGAACGTTCCATCATGTAAATTGTGAAAACTGCACAGGCACAGCCGCTGCTCCCAATTTGACAGCATGCAGACCCACAAAGATGTCAATTGGGAGTAGCGACTGTGTCCATGCAGCCACTGCGTCCCAATTGACATGAATGGGACTTCCTGTACAGAGATGCATGGAAAACCTTTGCATCCCGGGGTAGGTAAACACGGCCCTCGCAGGGGTGTTCGCTGTAGTACGTCTGTGTAAATGAGGCCTAAAGCGGGAAAAGTTATCTGAGAAGTATAAACAAACTTGGTCCCGCAGATCAAGTTCTCCTGTGTTTATATGACTACTGAAACCTGGCTTCATGTGTCTGACTCTGCCTTTCCCACTGCCCTCTCTCATGGAGGCCTCCACTTGACTCACCCAGACCCAGTGGATGGAAAGAAGGTGGAGTTGGTTTGCTTCTATCCCCGCTGTGCACCTTTCAAGTCCTTCCTGCCCTTCCTTCTATTCTTTTGAGACTCACTGCATTCGTCTGTTTTCTGTAAGGATTGCAGTGATCTGTTGGCCTCCTGGACTGGTGATGACTTCTCTGCCTGGCTACCCTACTTTCTCTTCTCTGAAAGACCCACTATCATTCTTGGTGATTTTAGCATCCCCAATAATGTTAGCAGTCTGGCTACGTCTCAACTTCACCTCATCTTTTGACCTAACACAGTGGACACAATCCTCCATTTACTCTGATGGGAATACACTTGACCTTGTTTTCTCTCATCTTTGCACTCCATGCAACCTCACCAACACCCCCTTTCCTCTCTCTGATCACAGCCTCATCACATGCACCGTATCCTTGTGTTCAACCACCTATCTCTCTATGTAGCAAACAATTACCCGCAGAACAAAAAAGGAAAGAAAATACCCAGTTCAACTTGCCAGCCAGCAACCAAATTAACCTGTTTAACAATGTGCGTTTAAAA